TCTTTCTTTCTCTTTCTTTCTCTGTCTCTTTCTCTTTCTTTCTCTGTCTCTTTCTTTCTCTTTCTTTCTTTCTTTCTTTCATCTTTCTTTCACAGCCTCCTTTTTTAAAAATGAACTTACACACTAATGAAAGTAAGCACTTTCAATATATGGACATGTCAATCCGTACATTGTGTTTGCAACTGTTTAGGAAAGCTACTCATCAAGTTAGTCCTACAATCAAACGATCTCTATGTTTGGCCGATAACTTCTAAGAAGCATGAACAAAATATATATTTATAGATTTTTTTAAGAATATGACATTTAAGTAGGAAAAGTGTTATTACCTAAATAACAATATCTAATTATGTCACATTCCTTTAGGGAAAAACAGAGAAATAGTATGTGCAAAGAATAGAAAACCAAAATATGGCAACTGAAATTATTATAACAAAAACCTGAAGTGTGATAAAATGCCAAAAGTAACTATAACTCAATGTCATCTTCATTTTACCATAATTTTGCAGTATTATTAATGAAGTGCAAAAATAATTATGCTATCCACATGAAATATAGGGTAAGCCTTTAGGCACCATTGAGCAGAAACCAGTCACTAGTAAGTAACCTGATGTGCTTTTTCTGCCCAATTTAACATCACCACAGGCTCTCTCACTATCCTCCTTAACAAAGTGTGGGGTATAGGAGGAGATGGGTTCATTTATCCAGAAAATTACTTGCAACACTACTTGTCTCTCTTGAAACTACTATCTCACTTTAAAAATGCCCATAAGCCCATAAGCGTGAATGAAATTGAGTCACATCTGAACGAAATCAAATCATTTCCTCCAGTAATGGAAAATAAAGGAAAAAGACACTTTCTTCTCTCACAGTATTTTAAATTGATAGATTGTTTTTCTTTGTCAGTAAAATGTTGGATTAATGTGTAATTTTTAAGTAGCTTTAAAAATGTAAAACAGAAATAAATGGTTTACAAAAATAGATGCAGATTTAGTGTAATTAAGATTGGCAATGAGGCTTAGCAGAGAATAAATAAATAATTTTAAAAATCATTACAGGAAAGAATATACCAGTCTAGCTTCCATCCTGGAAATCCCCAGATTTATTTGCCAACCTCTAACAATTTTTAGATTACAAGAACAGGTGAACACATACTTATGCAGTGTTAGATAACAGTATCAGGTCAATCATATCTGTTCTCTGGGTTGCTCTAAATATCTTGGAGATTATCAATCTATTTTGATATGTCTGTGTGGGGAAAGGATGCACACTGAATTCTACTGGCAGAGTAATTTAATGTCTTGTTCAAGGGATAAAGTATGGTCAGAGATAAAACATGTAAATGGTTCAGAAATAAGATTTGCCAAATGATTCTCACTTTACAATTGTGTATATAAGTTTTTACTCCAGTAAGTGAGGCATACCCTACTTCATTCTGGCTTTTTCTACTTTTTTTTGTTTTGTTTTTGTTTTCTGCTTTTTTTTTTTTTTTTTAAAGTTACCATTGATATACGGACAGAAGAAAATCTAGGTAACATTTATGGAGAAAATATAATTTATTAGACATTAAAACTATATTTGTTTACACATATTACACAGTATTTAGAAGCAACTGACTTTTCTGAAGTGTTTTGCCAAAGCATTCATTCGATATGAATAGAAAGACTATTAACATGTTGTCCTTAATCTTTGAATTCATGAAGTTTTAGAATTTATTTGGCAGTGACCTTTTTTGTTTTCCTTTGATATGTAGGCAAAGTTAAATGCACAATTTGTTTTCTCTAGCATACAATACTACGGGAAAAGTAAAGTTAACTCTGAAGTCAAGGTCCTCCAAACACATATAGCCGGTGAATAATTTTACTAGCTTCTAAAAATGCATTTTTGTTTATATTTGCAAAGTAAGAATCAATTATAATTTTTTTATTCCTGAAATATCACAATGCTATTTCAGTGTATACACACACACACACATATATATATATATATATAATCAGAAAAGATGAAAATTATTGAGTATTGAGTAAATTATATTGAAATGACCAAAATACGCTGTAAGTAAAAATTTATAACAAATAATGATCTGGAAAATATGTTTATAGAACGCAGATGAGATTGATCAAAAACATGAGGACAATGAAAACTACCTTCAGTTTCTAATCTACTAGCTTATTGTAAGAATGATATTTGTTTTCTCCTGTATTTTTGTACAATTGTTAACAAATCTGTGAAATTTGATAAATAAATAGATGTATCTATTTGAAACACAAGAATTAACAAAATATTGGATATCAATGGTAATATATAATGATAGTACCTGCTTGGTGGAAAGCTCCATTGCTGAAATAGTAGTCGGTTCCTAAAGGAGAAAAAGAAATATGTGAGGTGTTTGGTCAATTAGAACAGTCAGCTATTAGTTAATTAACTCAAGGCACTGCTATTAGTTTTCAGAGAGAGAGAACTTCAGTGTCCACAAGAAGCAATGTGATTGGGAAATAAGACACATGAAAGAAACTGCATAGATAAGGGTCAAATATGTGGAGCAGGCAATAAGATTGTGTCAATGCCATACAGTCTACATACCTGTAGTTGACCAAGTTGGGGTTATTGTTTGCTAAAATATAAGGGAAAACATGAGCCTGCGCAGTGAGCACAGTGAGAAGGTGTTGGAAAAAACATGTTTTGGACTTGTGTTAGGTGATTGAGGGAGGGTTCAAAGAAGTAGAGCTTTGTTCTACCTTGGATATTGTCAAAAAGCAGGGGTAATTCTATGGTTAAGTGTCTTCATACATCATTTGGAAGGGAAGAACAAAGTAAGGCTAAAGCTGTGACTGGTGAAGAAGTAGCAGTAACTCGTGATAGGCAGGATAGGGTATATATGGTCATTTTTGTGGTTTGGACAATGTTCTTGTTTTTGTCTGTGGACATGATTACAAAATGGTTTTGCTTTTATCTTGATTCATCATGGTCTCAGAGTGGTCCTTTCTGATGTTGGTATTCTGTGAAAATTGTTCTGTTCAACTGGAGAATGCTGCCTTAGCTGAGAGTGCCAGCCTCATTCCTAACAACACCAATGACAGCTGATGAGAGTATGTCACTTTCCAGCTGACAAGGACTACAAGAGCTCAGGTGGGATGAGATTACTTCATTATTATGAAAAACACGGTTTCATGTGCAAGGACTTACACCCAGGTCTTTGCCAGAGAATATAATCTCTTTAATGTCTATCAACAGGTTAACATAGAGGAGTAATAACTAGAAAAGTAACACTCACCAATGCACTTCATTAATTGTTCTATCTGGAGCTTATCATGAATGTGTATAGGCTTGCATAAATAAATTGTGTTCTTTGATGTAGGCAGATACCAAACCCTACATAACTGAACACATGAGTTTACATCCTTTAGGTTCACTGTCAACGACCTGTGCTGCAGGCTGTATATTTCATTCAAGACAAACATGGTGAGAAGACAGAGACTGCTTGTGGGTTTCTGAGAGGTCTGATAAGAGTCTTAGGTGGAATGAAGGATCTTAAAAGACCTCACTGTGTAGGTAACTGAAGCTACTAAATTAAGTGTGAAGAGTTGGACTCTGGAGCCAAACTGCCAGATCTCAAATTGTGATTCAAATCTGGCCAGAAATGCAGTATTAGGCAAAGTGTGTAAACTTTTTGTAATTCAGTTTTCTCATTTGAAAGTTAGATGGTGCCTCTTACAGGGTTGGTGAGAAGACTGAATGAGTTAATACATGTAAAACAAATTACAAATGTGCTTGGCATATAATGTTTATTCAGATCTCTCCTCCCTCTCTTCCTCTCTCGTCTCTCTCTCTTTCACATACACCCACACCCACATGCACACACACACATTTCCATCTCATTTCTTTGCTTTAGTTTTTCTTTTTAGTGCTTATTACCAGTTTTATATATATATATATATACACACACACACACACACACACACATTATCTAATAATATATTATTAATATGCCTTAATAATCAATAAATTTTATATAGATACATATAATTCATTTTTTTGTCTTGTAAGTTTCTTCACACTTCCCAAAGCAGAATCTGAGATAAAATCTTGTTTGCAGGTTTGGGGCAAGAGTAAAGAATTGAGGATTCAGAAGGTGGAAAAAATCAATTAAAAAGTGTATTATGGAAGTCAATACTAAGAAAAAAAATCTAAGGATAGTTGACAATGACTCTCCAAATTGTCCACTGAGGTTTGTACCAAGAAAAGTACTTATTCATTCCATTCCTCATTCCATGCTCTCAGGGAGTTAAGTCTCCCACAGCCCCAGCTGTGACTCTAGCTTGTTTTTTGGCCTTCTGGGGCATAAAGAAAAGATTCCTCATATGAATCAGAAGTGAGGTGAAAGGATGTGAGGAGGCAGCTGAGGCATCTCACGTGTCTTTCCAATTGCCTGTCCCCCTCAATTTGGGACAGAGATTTTTACTGTTTATTTCACAGCCATATCCCTAGCACCTGGAATTATGCCTGGTATTTACAAGTTCTTAATACATATTTGCATGAATGAATAAATGAATGAACAAATTCTTTACCAATGTTCCTCTTTCTCTCCTCTCTTCAACTTACCCCACTATACTCTCTCTCTTCCACTTAATTTATATTTAAGATAAAGATAGCCCTTCTATTAAGTCTTTCTTTGTTTCTTATAGCTTAGCTGGAATTTCTTCAAAAATAATTTAGAATAGCCTACACTCACTGCTTTTGCTTGTTCATCTCTCATCCAATGCCTTCCCTGCTCAACCCACTGAGTCTAACTTTTATTCTAGAGAGGTGGCCTACTATCTTCAGAAGCAGAAATCACCAATGAACTGGGTATTGCTGATAGGACACTTTTCTGTATCCATAACTATTATTAGACTTTGTTTTATATGTTACTATTGACGACTTATTCTTTCTTGACTGCTTCCTCTAATAAATTCCATTATGCCTTAGGATTCTTTACTAATTATTCCTTAATGACCTTTAACACAGTCTTCTTCTCATCCTCCAGCCACTCCTAACATATTTACTGTTCCTTGACTACTCCTTTCTACTCTCCTTTGGATGCCGTTTTTCTTCCCTAGTAAGCTCTTGTGTTTTTGTTTGTTTGTTTGTTTGTTTGAGACGGAGTCTCGCTCTGTCGCCCAGGCTGGAGTGCAGTGGTGCGATCTCGGCTCACAGAAAGCTCCGCCCCACCGGTTCACGCCATTCTCCTGCCTGACCCTTCCAAGTAACTGGGACTTACAGGCACCCGCCACCAAGCGCTGCTAATTTTTTTTTTGTATTTTTAGTAGGGATGGGGTTTCAGCTTGTGTTAGCCAGGATGGTCTCGATCTCCTGACCTCGTGATCCACCCACCTCAGCCTCCCAACTCTTGTGTTTTTAATTACTCCCTATGTGCTATAGAACTGCAAATCTCTACTTCAAACCTGATGGATGAGCTGAGAACAGAATTTTCTTAACAAATTTAAGACAATCTGCCTGAGACACAAATGAAAGAAATGATTTAGGAGGTACATTAATGTAATGGTATAATTTAGAGATTTTCCATAGTTTCCCATTTTTATAGCTTAAATGATTTATATTAATTATTAAATATAATAATTTACACAAAAATTATCAATAATAAAGACAACTATGATGAAAGGAATGTCTATCAACTTTTTCTATGCAGAGATATAATCTTTAGAATTTAGTAGCCTCAACTCAAAAACTAAGGGCACAACGTATCATGGATATTCAGCCTTAAAAACAAAGTTGAAGACTGTATTTAGGTTTGTATAATATTAGAATCAATAACCAAAACAGAAAATTTAGAAGAGTAAGGAAAATTTTCCACAGATACTTCTTTCATTCCAACAATTTCACATGAAAAATAGTTATGCGGTTATTAAGGAGCTTATTTCATGAAGACTTTTATGACGTAAAGTTTACAATCAAATTTCAAGGAAAGTGTTTCTTAGGCAGAGAAGTATTAACAGCTAATGTAATTGAAGTGAAATTAGCTAGCTCTAAGTACTTTCAAAAATGAAGGTGATTAATATGTATACATTTCATGTTCCGTAATAATACAAAAAACAAATATCTATAAGGTAGATAAAAAATATTTCATTTATGAATGGTAAAACATAAAAGAAACCCTAGTACATAACAGACTCCATTGTGTCATATTAAGATTTTAACGTTCTTAAGATTCTAGAATCCATTAATTAAAGGAACCTTATTTATTATTTAGACCAGGAAATTAATAACAGTTTGGAATAAGATGAACTATATGCTGTCTGTGGTTGAATTTTAATAGACAATATATTAAGATGACATTCATTTAAATAAGCTATGGGGATTTTTTTCTGAGAAACAGCGGGTAGTGAATATGACTTCCATTTAAAACAGATGTAGCTTCATAAGCATGTTTTCATGAAACTGGTTTCAGTTGCATTTAATTGGTGTTCAAGTAAAAATAAAATTAAAACTTAGCATCTTTTCAAGGCTTTCTATGACTCCAATTTACAATTTTTTTTCAGATATGTTAATCTAGTCCTTATTAAACTTTCTCACTTGCAAAGCTTTTCAACCTGCTGATCCCAGGAGATTCTGACACAGCCTGTTGGATGCTAACCACAAGGACACTTTTTTAGAATGAGTTAATAGACTAGGTTAGGAAAGTATCAATTATGTTTTCATTTGAACAAAAATTAAACTCTTTCATTTGTCTGCTCAGCTGTTCATGGAGTATTTCACAAATTGGGTTTAAAATGTGTTATCAATGTAACTGCCTTGCAATTCCATGCATTCAGTAGAACTATAAATAAAGCCCACTGTCCTAAGAGCATTGCAACTTGATATAACCTTTCAGTTTCAAAACTAAACCATCTTTGATTGTACTGGAAAGAAAATCCCAAACTGACTAGTTAAATAGAAATCAGCAGAAATTAGGCTTTTGTATCTTCTGAGTATTTTGATAAAACAAGGTATATGTATGGAATTTTCAAGCATTTTAAAAGAGATTTTCATTTGTATAACTAGTTAACAATAGCTACCATTTACTAGTAATCTTTTTTTTTTTTTGAGACGGAGTTTCAGTCTGTCGCCCAGGCTGGAGTGCTGTGGTGCAGTCTGCTCGCTGCAACCTCTACCTCCCTTCAAGGGATTCTCCTGCCTCAGCCTCCTGAGTAGCTGGGATTACAGGCATGCGCCACCATGCTCAGCTAATTTTTGTATTTGTAGTAGTGACGGGGTTTCACCATGTTGAAAAATCAGTCTGGTGTCTAACTCCTGACTTCGTGATCCTCCCGCCTGGGCTTCCCAAAGTGCCGGGATTACAGGCATGAGTCACCACACCCA